TCAGTGCCTGGAATTGCTGTAAGTTCTCAAAAGTGTCATACATCTTATAGTTTAACACTAATTTAGAACAAACCATGTCAGTGACAGAGAAAGAAACAAAAAAACACTCCTAGACAATTACCTATACTAACAGCTCTGTCTGTCAGCTCTGATGGCAACAAAGCTAAAAACAGGGATAACAGTAACTAATGAACTAGAAACACCTCGAACGTTGTCACTATGATTTGAATTATAGTTACCATGACAACTTACCGGTTACAGTGTCCAAGAAGTGTTCTAATTCTTGTTGGTAGGCTTGTGCATATCTTTCTTTGAATGACGGCAGAATAGGATGCGAGGATTCCCCGTCGGTTCCATGACTAGACATATCACAAAACTTGGAATTATGATTCTGTACCATTCCTTTGTTGCCGAACACCTAATAATAAATTAGAATTGATTTAACTAATATATTTTTAGTCGTAAAAAACAGATGCAATGTAACGAGAAGTATGGAGAATAATGCCCATATGAAAGACCCAGTTGAGTTACTATGTGTTGTTTTGGTACTTCCATCTTGAGGATGCTACTCAGCAAAAAATTTAGTACACAACATTGAAGGACAAAAAAAAACATAATTCATTACAAATTTAAGGATCTTGTAACACCCCCCCCCCCTCCCGATAAAAAAACATTTTATGTGGGATTTAAGACTTTTCAAACAGCCAATGTATTTTCAGGTCCACAAAATGATGCAGCTCATCCGAGTTCTTTTTGCGTGTGTGTGTGTGTGGGGGGGGGGGTTTAAGTTAATGAAGTCTTCAACAGATTCTAACACCACTACAGTTAGTAGTGAAAATAATTGTTTTTTCATTAACACGAATTAATAGAATTATTTTCGATTAAATTATTATTGATTTTTTGGGATGAAAATAGATACCTCAAGCCTTTGATCATATCCATACGCAGCGAATCTGCTCAAATCAATGGTGCCTATGGCTCCACTTGCAAACTTCATTGTAATGGCGACTGTGTCAATATCGTCCATATCTGCAATATCGGGATTGAATGCGTGGCCTTGAGTATAAACGGTAGTTGGTGTATCTCCCATTATCCAACATATAACATCTATGTCATGCACAGCGCAATCATGGAATATACCACCTGTAATATAATAATGATGTATTTTCAAAATAAACATGCAGTCCATGTTACTACAAAAATAATGAACGACAACGCCACAATGGAGGAGTTGATTCTACGCAAGATAGTATGCGCTGCACATGCGAACATACTATTGATTAACTCTAAATCTAATATGGCATTCTGGGTAGTTCAATATTACGATATTTCACCAGTTGGGCACTGGGTCCACATCAGACGTTTGAAATGGCCAAAAGATTGGTCCCCCCAAAAAATGCTGACCCCGAATTTTGCAAATTTTTTTTTTTCAGCAATTAGTTGAAAGATTTTTTCCCTGCAAAAATAATACATATAACTTATGTGTACCAATATTAATACTATCAACTTATATCAATAATAAAAAAGACATGAATGGCACACTTCCTGTTAGTTATCAAACTTATGATATATAATTTTGTTTATAGTAATATAGCTCAAACATAAACATGTCAAAGATATTGATTCAGAAGCCGATGCTTGATTGATACTGAAATGATTGAAATTCAGTCGCCTTGTATATGATCGTCAAAGGAGTACTTGTCCATATTGAGAGATATTGCTGTGGAACAGCATTAATTAAAACAAAATAGCCACTAGTCGTCCATCTGTATATCTATAACATGATGTAGAATGAATATAAAATTTTTTTTAAGTCAAATCATTTCAGAGATACGACACTAGAACTGCATTCATTAAAACAAAATGGCTGCCAGTCACCCATTTTTCATCCGATCTGAAAAACAAAATGACATGCATTAAGGTCCCCTAATGTCCAACGTATGCACCAAGTTTCAACAAAATTCATCCATAAATGCTTTATTTTGATGACTTTTCAGCACAAAAACAGCCGCCATTCAGCCATCTTGAATCAGATCGTGAAATATGTATAATATTATGTATGATGTACGTGTTAAGTTTGAATGTAATCAGTCCAGGCATATCTAAGATATAGGTCGGGACGCACAGAGGTCAAACTATAATTTCCCGTTAATAAACTTCTACCAAACATCAATAGATTTTTCTAGAAATTACTCCAGACAATTTCATCATTTCTCATATGTGCAGATGCTCTAATAGAAGCCAAGTCCATTCTGATGCATTGTACCATTTTAAAAGAAGCCACAGCTTCTAGCTTTTAGATCACTCACTAAGAACACTTACCAGATAGTTTTAAAAATGATAATGGTGGTAATGGAGCATCGCGACTGATTGTCTTGATGTGTTGTATCTGTCCTACTACACCATTTCTGCTTTTTTGCTGGACCTGACGTACTCCTGGATCAAACCGTCTACAGACGAGAAAATTGCAAATTATTATCAAGCATGCTTAAAACTGTAGATAGCAACTTTAATATGTGATTTTCCATTCAACTACGAGATCTTGCGAGTTGTGTGAAAGACGTTTGCCTCAAAAATCAAACGATTTGATTTTGAGCTTGAATTTCTTTATTTCGTAGCTCACATCGAAAGGCCAATCTTTGACAGGGGAATATTGCGTTCAGATACCCTTACTTCATCGGAATTGACCATCATCAAATGTGTACAACACATTATTAAGCATGGAAATATCCATTAAAATGCGTGTTTATTGAATTTCACACTATGTTTGTCGCCACTATGACACAATGACCTTTTTTGTCCTGTTTTTACATTTGATTTTATGCATAACACGGAATCTCACAGAGAATGGAAATACATACATATAGCATCAAAAATAATAGAATTTACCTTTCCGTAAAAAAACTATCAGTACTTGTTCAAACATTCAAATTTGTTCTTATTTGGGGTAAAAACTACATCACCAACATTACACGATGGCAATATAATCACGTCATTGAAAATAAATGTTTTTGTCGCCATTTTGGGAGATAAGCTCTCATCAAATTATTATATACCCTACACGTAGGCCTTTAAACTTGCGCAGACCAGCACAAAAATTAACAGTGCCACTACAGTTAGACATCTCACCTGTTGAATGCACACAGAAGGACTTTATTGTTCTTCTGTGCTTCCTCATAGCAGCTCTGTGTGCTAGCAATCGACTTACCAATCGGCTTCTCACAAAACACATGTTTACCTGAAAAAACGAAAGCAATCATTAGCATTTGAAATGTATGAATATACTAGTAGTTCTTAAAATATGAGAATTAGATGATCATTTTACAAATAAGTGATTATGGCTGATAACAGTGACCGTTAAAAAAACAGTTTGTAGATTAATAATTATTTAATGACGATCACAAAAACTAAACTTTACAATTGTTAATCTGACCCACCAGGAAATTGTCACTGATTTAAAATATTATGATTTTTTGGTGTACACTAAAAACACTGACAACGAAATCACGTGGTTTACAGGATTTTTTTTTTATTTACGGATACCCGGTATACATAAAAAAAATTAAACCTATTAGAGAGCTGTTAATATAATGACATTTTAAGATTATCCCCTGATATATCACTTGTTTATTGAGCTGGTTTACACAATGCAACAGCGGACAAAAATGTTATTACTCTTCTTAGCTCCAAAATAAACATACAGTCATCATTACAAGTTTTATTCGGGCAGAAATCATACTGGTTCTGTTACATGATTTTTTTCTCTCGGTGTACTGGTTGAACATAGAGCAAACATTGGTATTTCGCAAATAATAAACATATTCCACCTCGCAGATTATAAGCGTGAAATGGTGTGTATCTACTGGTATATGAATGCTTTTAATTAATGTTTTTATCAATCAATAAAACTCATGAATCAAATTATTGATTGCCTCAATCACTCAAGAGTTCAATGACCTGACATTTACTATTAAAACCTTAGAAGTTGACCATTAAAAACTATGAAGGTAAATTTAAACAAATCTTGAAGATAAAAAATTTACAGCAAGGTGAAGAAAATAAATATAACTACACACATTTGAAATAAAAATGTTACAACATAATTCTGAAATAAAAAGCTGCTGTAAACAAAGTGAAAAAAAAAAGAATTCATGAGTTTTTAATGGTCAACCTCGTAAAACTAAAATTCATTAACGCATATAGTATATCTTAGCATTTTGACGATTTAACAATGAACATATATTGGTGAAGACAAAATGTCATGATTGACACCGACTTATTCATTTTCACAAAATTAATAATTTCATTTATTTGCTGAATTACAAAAGTTTTCATTCAATTAACACTGTTCACAGTACGATTATTCCCAAGCAGACGTTAATTATGTCTGTCCTGATGGGGGAAGACTATTATTTGGTGCCACCCTCCATATCTTTTACATAAAATTCACTATTTTCTACATGTTTGTATAGGTCATTGAAGTGGTTGTCTTTGCTTTTATCCATCTCTATCACACACACCCCTCCCCAAATACCTGGTGTAAACACTATTTGTGAATTATTTGCAAGGATTTATTTCAGTTTATTCCGCTAACAGTTAAATGCATTAAATTAAAACCCAGTGGATATTAAAATTTTACAATGAAGTGTATTGTCCCCTTTACAAACCAGTGAGAGTAAACCCAGTAAATATGCATGCAATATTTATTTTACTAAAATTAAGGTCTTTTTCTATTAAATATGAGCAAAATGTGATTTCTTTCTTTCAAAACAACTGTTGATTTAGAAATAAACTATTTTCTTAGAGCATAGGCCATTTTGGAACTTTTTCTATAAAAATGTTATTTCATGAAAACAATAACATGACACAGTCCCCGTCATTTTGTAATGTATTTTGGAGTGCATGTGTACTTATCTGTGTGTTGTAGTCTTGTGATACATGTACATCAAAGCAATCTCTCCATATGTACATTGTGTATAACCTCAGACTAGTAATACAAATGTATTACTAGTCTGAGGTATAACATTTTAACTGCTCAATGAACACCTGAAACATTGTTTCATACAGGCTTGATATTATTGATGCTTGATTAGTTTAGACATGTTACTAATTAAACAAGAAAGCAATCAGGCAGCCATCTTGAATAAGATCATGAGACAAATGCATGTGCATATGTCAATTATCATGTCTGATGTAAGTGTAAAGTTTGAACTCCATTCATCCTGGCATGTCGGAAACATGAATCTGGAATTAGGCAGTCATTAAAACAAAATGGCCACCAGTCGGCCATTTTTAACCCGATCTGAAAAAATAAAATGACATGTGTTCAATATATGTAGCAAGTTTAAACTAAATCTGTCCATACAAGATTAAGATCCAGTTCCAGAATAACGAAAATGGCTGCTATTCGGCCATATTGCATGTGCGTATGACTGATAAAATGTCTGATGTACGTGTTAAAGTTTGAACTTGATCAGTGCATCTATGTTAGATACAAGTGGATGTGCATGCTATCAATCCATAAGTCCCTGTTTTCAGACTGCATCAAAACAGGAAATAATAATGGTATTTCTCGAAAGCACCCATAAGATTTCCTAACCATATGTATCTGAACAAAAGTTTGAGATATGAAAACACTTTTTTACCTTAAGAACCAATAGTATATAGCTAAAAAAAAATAATCCCCATTTTCATGGGTGATTGACACCCTTTTTTGTGTAAATAACCATAATTTATCAGCCATATGGTAAAAGTCTAGAAAATCTGGCAATAAGTTTTAATGGTAGCCATCTACTCGTAGTGTGTGGGTGTGGTGGGTGTGCAGATAATAACTGCGTCATACTGAAATTCAAGCAGAATATGTCATTAACGTGTTTCCCCCCCCCCCTCTCTGCCGGTGAATAAGATATTCCACTTTACCAGAGAATCTATAGCAAGAAACACCAATTTTTTTCTGATATTTCATGAACTGCTTCACACAAAATAAACTAAAATCAAACTTAACCAAGCTTGATAAAGTTTGGCTGAAAATTACACCAAGAATGATTATTAACGCCACCAGACAAAAATCCACCATAAACATGTACCTCATCCTCCAGCAAAATTAAAAGGAAGGAATAAAAAAACATGGCCACCAAGGAAAACAACATTTGCAATTAGTATTTCTAGAAATGTAAGTAATACATCTGGTTTAGTTTCGAAAGATTTGTTGGTGTTCGAACACACTACTTAAAACAAATACGATAACTAAAAATAAATTGTTGAACAATTTTTTATTTTTTTTTATTTTTAGGGACGTTTTTTTTAAACTAAACCACAATGCATCATGGCATCATGTATGAATTTGTGATAAAATTATGGAATCGCTTGTCACCAAAGTTGGCCTTTCTTTGGCTTTAAATACATTCCAAGGAAAAATATATTTTAACTTCAAGCATAACCGCAAACAATTAGGTATGTCTCAATAATATTAAAACAGTGTTATCATTTATATTAAAAACTTCATGCTTATATATTCTGTATTGTGCTTACAGGGTTTGGAAAATATGCTGGCCCAATGACTCAGATGAATTAACCACCAGTATTAAACTCAGTTGACCGAAGGATCAATCACAACACTCGCAAAATAATGTATTCCACTAGTCCTAGTGTACTATTCAAATATTTTGCTTGCCATTTCATTAAAATGGAATGATGTAACAGATCAAAACAAAAAGCCCGAAGGACATTATTTGACAAGTTTTTGCTCCAATGTTAGGATTTCATGTCCTACTACTAGGTATGTTCTTTTTAATAGACGAATAAAAAAATGTTTTGGTTCCTATAACATGCTTTTCAAAAAATAAAGTAGGTTTTTTATTTTAATTTTTTTTGATATAGTTTTTCTTTATTAACAACTGCGTTTTTTTTTTGTTCTTGCAAACAAGAACTGTTTTGCAGATATAAATGTCATATAAAATCAGGTTTAAAGTTGTTTCGAAGTTTAGCAAAGTTCAAGTTCTTTGATTCATTCAAAGCATTGCATGATTTTACAACATTTTTTTTGAACATGACCAAAAAAGTCTAGGCTCGGGCAGTGTAAAGACAGGGTAGGTTGGGATTATAGGAACCACACAATTTTTTTTCTCTGCCTCATACTAGTAGACAAATTATCAATTTTGACTTTGTTTCTACTGTGGCATTTAATGAAACTAAATCATACATACCTGTTATCCTGCAAGACAAGATTTATTTCATTACCATGTATCACTCTGGTATCATTCAACATATATTTCTGTACTACATTATTTGCTTTTTCCACGTCCTCTTCAATAATCCATTTCAGAGCCACTCTATAGCTCGCTATTAAGTTTTCAAAATGAATGAGACCAGCGCGACCAAGTCCAAATAAGGCTACATTGACTCTTCCGATAAACTGTGACATCTGAAACAAAGTTGACCAATAGTGTTTGTCACTATTAGAAGATTTTACTACAAACAGAATTTGATTACAAACAGCGCCACATAGAGTCACATCTGAATCAGGTATCTAATGAATGTGATAATTGCATGTATGCAAATGTGTTGA